CCATAACTGAGAAATATTCTCTATATTTTAGAAACTTTTTATAGCAGGCCTTCTTATTTGTTTGAACTTCTATATTTTGCATTCTGAAGATCTGAGAGGGTGTCCCTCACCAATGCCATTATTGGCATTTCATCTAAATTGCAACCAGTGGGGTTTTTTTCCTCTCTGTTTTAGGAACTTGTGTCTGGACAAATCATCCTGAAGAGTGTATAGTAAATACTGAGATTACTCTCAGAATAAACAATACCCTGAGGAGTAGCCTGATCTGAAACACATCAAAGTGAATTTAAATTTCAGTGGCCGTCAGGATTTTTGTAGCCAGGGAAGGTGAGTTTAACTCCTCTAGCCTTGCCCACCCCCCCTTTTCCCTGACAACACACACACACTTTTATTTTGCTAGATATTACTTTCATTCTAAAGTTCTTTATCTTTTTTAGACATGAAGGTCCTAACATTTTTTTAATTCTGAAAATAAAGGTATGGTGAAAAGGAACTTTCATGAGGTACTCCCATGAAAATAAAATTCTATAGATAAAGAGCGTGGTGGTATTTTTCATTTTGATATTTGTTCATCGCAATATTACAAAGGTGTTTCGAACTGGTGCAGTATCACTCTTGGGATGAGACATATTGGGCTTATTTTGTCATTTTCTCCAAGTTGTGCAATGCTGGAGGAAAGAGCCTGTGTCAATCATTCATCCACCTGACTTCTTTCCTTCCCAAAAACCTAACAGCAAATCTGTCCTCTTCCACCCTTCCTGGAAGTGATATTGAATACCTGAAGCCTGCCTTCAAGGACCAGTTTGCCAGGTGTGGGATGAAGGATGTTCATTTCCTAACCAGCACTGTGTGTGGTGCAGAGCGGAGCAAAAAAGAATGATGTTTGTCTGTGGGAAACAAGTAAGCAGGAATGGAGGAAACAGGATCCAGAGCATTCAAAATCTCCACACTTGTAATGACTTTCAGAGTAATAGAATCGAAGAGTCACAGAAGCATTTAGGTTGGAAAAGATCTCAAGATCGTCAAGTCCAACTGTAAAACTAACATTACCAAATCCTCTATGAAATCATGTCCCTGAGCACCGTGTCTGGAGGTCTTTGAAATATCTTCAGGGACGTGACTTAACCACTTCCGTGGGCGGCCTGTTCCAATGCTTGATAACCCCTTCAGCAGAAATTTTTTTCTGATATCCACTCTAAACCTCCTCAGTACTACTTGAGGCCATTTCCTCTCATCATATCACGCAGGGCAAGAGATTGCCACCAACCCTGCCTGGAGTGTCTGGCCCATGCTACTGTCCCTTGCAGCAGAGTTGTTCTCCCCCCTGTGGCTTCCTCAGTGCCTGATGCCATGTCCTGCCAAGAGAGACATGCAAAGTGACAGGGCTTGCCTGGTGCAAGAGTGGAGAAGTCAGGGACACATCAGCAGGCTTTGGGAGAGGGGAGGCAAAAGAAGAGCCTCTTGATGGCCCTCCTTGAAGGCTGGAAGGCAGCCACAACCCTGGGTCAGGGTAGAGAGACGTGGAGCTGGACTGGGCTGGGCCCCTCTCTCTGCATCCCTTGGAGAGCAGGAGGAAAGCCATGATCTCCCCCACACCTCCCCAGTGCTCAGGCTGAGGTGTGTGAGATGCATGTGGCAGGTTCTGGCAAGCTGCCAGAGGGCCCAGGGGGAAGAGATGCACCCAAAACTGCAAACCCCCACACCCTTGCCCAGCCACTATGAGGCTAGCACAGGGTACCTGGAGGAGGTGGTCAAGAAAGAAAGAGGAACTTGCTGGGAGTCTTCCGTGCTGCCAGTGTGCCTGGCACTCTTGCATTCACAGTCCCAGGACAGTCTCCTACGGAACCCATGGCACTGTGCAGAGGCAGTGAAGGGGGCTGCAGTTGCACAGAGCCCGGAGCTGCTGCTGTCCCCTTTGCCAAAGCTGATAGATAGAACAAGCTTAACATCCCACAGGAGCCTGCACACCTTGTGTGTGTGCACCCACAGGAGTCCTGGAAACCCTGTGGAGGAACAGACACTGCTGAAAAACACCAGGGTCACAGATTCTCACAGACGATGTTACAAGGGTGTCAGGCACTGCCCCATTGGGGCAGCACATGCTCCAAAAGGGGCAAAGTCTAATCCACAGGATGTTTTCCCTTGTTGAACTTTATTAAATTCCTTTCATCCCAACTCTTCACCCTTTCTATGTCCCTTTGAGTGGCAACACAACCCTGTGCCTGTGGTATTTCAGACTCTACTCCCTGTCTTATATTATCTGTGAACTTGCTGAGGCTGTGCTGTTCCCACTGTCCACTGCTCTCATGAAAATCCTAAATATTGACCCCAGTCCTGACCCTAGGTTACAACTCTACTAACTGGCTTCCAATTGGGCTTCATTTTACTGTTTGGAATTCTCTGGCACTGCATTTTGCTAGTGAATGAATCCATTCCACCTGAGGAAAGCTTTGTCTGGTACAGTCAAAATAATCACTTTGCATGGTATTCTATGCAGAATCAATTTTTGGTGATGACTTACTGAGGACTGCCTTCTGTCTGTTCAGTTACAACTTCCTTTTGCAGTTAATAGGATAAAAAAAGTTATGTTAGTAGATTGTGAACTTAAACCAGTAACTTTTGGCTGATCACGAGAGTGATCAGAAACCTGCTACACAAAGCTCTGTTTTGTAGGGTTGCATTAACTCTGCAACTTTGATGTCTGCCTCCTTTGTGAAGAAGGGAGAGGACTGTAAGATTTGTCCTGACTGTTCTGTCTAGTTTTCCATACCCTGTGAGCCCTGTTCATTTGACTTTGCATTCCTCTCTCTCCCACCTCCACCCCACACCTTCACCTTTTCACAGCTTGGCACAGGTATTTCTCTACTGCTTTTTGGCACAAGCACAAGAGAGAGCAAATCAGCTATGATCCAGTGATGTGTCTATACGTAAACTAAGCACTAGGCACAAACAGCTCTGCCTGCTGCAGGTCTGCCTGGGAAGGTGCCAATCTGACTGAAGTCCTGTGTGCCAAAAGGCCCGACATTAAGACTCCCATTCCTCGGTTACACCTTTGCATTATGGACTCTCCCTTCTTACCTAGTCCTCCATAAAGCCTTCTACTCTTTTCCTCGCGTAACTCAGGTGGACAGTTGGGCCAGCTGCAAGACAAATGGGCTACTAACCCATTCACATACAACCTGAATTGTTTAATGCTGATTCCACAGACTGCTGCATGGCTTCCCTAAAATCATACCTTCCATTTCACTGTGAAGTGCTCATTGTTTTTACTCCTATGTCTTTCACAGCAGTAGAAGCAGAAACTCAGCTTCTGATCCTTTTGTCCACTTCTGGCCAAGGTGATGGGAGGTGGGAGAAGAGAGCCTCAGTAACCTGAACAAAACACAGATAGCAGCAGTATTTAGTATGTTGATGTTCGTGGGTTTCATATGTAGCATATATACATTCCACCTAGTACATATATTGGGAAAAAAAAGAGTAACAGTTGTCCACTGACACAAAGAAACAACAGTTATTTTCCTTTTATATACTTGTAGTATTGTTTAATTAACCTAAAACCTATGCATAACAGAAGCTTTCACCTATTTTGTGTACTTGAGAATATTTTGATATTAAGGTTGCATAAATGAATTTAAAGGACAAGGAAATAAAAATGTTGACAATGATGTTGTGAGGTGTTTCCTAAGGAGGAACAGCCAGTGACAACATAAGCACATACTGCTAGTTTTATTCAGCATTTAATGTGTTATTTGAAAGTAATTTGGGGGGATTTTACAGGTGTGCAGGCAGTAACACTTAGTGGAATTTTTCTTTTCTTTTTAGACAGAAAGGTGTTCAGCTGTTCCTAAATGGCATGGCTTCCTTTTTATGCACCATACACTGTAGATGTAACAGTCTGACCAGTCCTGACTAAACAGTGGTTGGACTGGGGAAGCATCTGGAGGGGAAGGTACATGAATAACCCATAATGTTTGGAAACTATTAATGACTTGAGTGGTGAACTTGCTATTACATAGTTAATTGTGGTTATGGGACACTTCATCTGACAAAAAAAAGATCATAACATATAATAACGTAATCCCCTATGTATAAGATATATTAAATATGTATTAGACATTGCTTTTATTGTTATGAATAAAAGAACTGAGGCTATTTTTGTTATGATCACTAGTATTCTTCAGAGATTCTGAAGACTGTCACTTTTTTTTTTTTTTACCATTAAAAAAACCAACAACTGGTAAATCTCTGTGGAGAGAAATGTTAACTGTTTAATTTTGTACTTAGATATGGCTCTTGTCCATACTCAACTCATATACTTGCATAAAATACTCTTTCAGGCAACAATATAATGTCATAAAACTATTCTCACTGGGTCTTTCTTACTTAGTTATTTCCTCTTATTGAAGGAGGCCAGTAAAAAGAATAGATAGAGACATTCAGCCAAATGAAGATGTCAGGACCTCCTATATGGTTAAGCAACAGAGCAGGCAGGGAAGGAGTGAAAATTGAGCAGTTATAGAAAACCTTTATATTACTGTATAACAGGGGAAAAGTTTCTATTGAGATTTAAAAAGACAGCTTCTAACAAGACTAAAATAAAAGTCTGATCTTCATTCCAAAATTTTTTTTTTTTTTAATTACCAGCCCTATATATCACCAGCAAATGTATTACCAACACAGCCTCAAGCTGTACCAGCAGAGGTTCAGGCTGGACATCAGGAAGAATTAATTCACAGAAAGGGTTGCTAAACACTGGAAAAGCCTGCCCGGGATGGTGGTGGAGTCACCATCCGTAGAGGTGCTCAGGAAACTACTGGACAGGGCACTCGGTGACATGGTCTAGTTGACAAGGTTGTCACAGGTTGGAATCAGTGATCTTGGAGGTCATTTCCAGACCAAATAATTCCGTGATTCTGTTAACACACCACATGTGAAGTGCGATTTACTCATTTATCTGCTTTTTTTTTCAATTTATATCTCTGTGTGTTTTCAGGTACTGGGTTTGCTGCCTGGACAGGAGAAAGGATGGCTTCCAACACAGCAAACCCTGCCAACCACTTGCCGTACTTCTTTGGCAACATCACGCGCGAAGATGCCGAGGAGTATCTGATGCAGGCGGGAGCCAGCGACGGACTCTACCTGCTCCGCCAAAGCCGGAATTACCTGGGGGGCTTTGCCTTGTCCTTGGCCCATGGAAGGAAGGTCCATCACTATACAATTGAGAGGGAGCTGAGTGGTTCCTATGCTATTGCGGGAGGCAAGTCGCACGCCAGTCCTGCTGAACTCATTAAGTATCACTCAGAGGAAGCTGATGGCCTCATCTGTCTGCTGAGGAAACCTTTCAACCGGCCACCAGGCGTTGAACCCAAAACAGGGCCCTTTGAAGATTTGAAAGAGAACCTCATCAGAGAATATGTCAAACAAACTTGGAATTTGCAGGTAAAACCAGACTGACCTTGCCACAGAGGGGTCTTTCAGCTAGGAGGAAAAGAGACTGCAGTGTTTGTTTCCAGATCTTGCTGCTGCTAGGTAGGATTTTGTCACGAGGGAATCATAGCCATTTGAGTTTGAACAGTGGGTTATTTTTCTTCTCCCCAAGAAATGCAGTACTTTGGCCCTAAGTGTAGTTTTCCTGAAATTTACAGCACTTAGAATTTCTATGATGTCTTGGGCTAGCATAGTCTTATCTACTACTGCACTAACATACCTCATCAGATTTGAACCAAAAATTAATAGATGTAAAGAATAAGGTACAGAAATTGTTTCTTTGATTGCTTTTAGCTCTGAATTTTTATGCAGTGATATACAGACAGGCATGGTGACATGATGACTTGTTTTTTATCCTCCTGTGTTAGCTGGTCTTGTTCCTGTGATGCTAATTTAGATTATGTCCAAAACTACATTACAGAGCACTGTCTGTACTTTCTCAGTACTGCATGTACCAAACAGGAATGTTCTATGTAAAGGATGGATTTTTTTTCCTGAGAATTACTATGAAGAAACCAGTTTTAAGATGGAAACACTAGGGTAGGAGGCTGCAACAGGAATATTATTGCACCTTGGAATGCCATCATGAGTTACCTTTATGAACTCACGGAGTTACACAGGGGTTTTTAATCTCCTTTGCTACAAGCAAGTAACTCTGTGAATTCTGCTCTGTAAAATATGTGGCGCAATCCCCAAACTGGCAAAGCCTGGAACTTATTTTCTGCAATTGCTGAGGCTCACAGTCTTTTTTTCTGCGGAGTCTGAACCCAGTCTAAAGGGAGGTCGATGAACTCAAGTTAAAAAAAATCTAGGAGGGTTTGCCCTGAGATTCTGGGCCAAATTTAGAATTGGTAGATTGTAGATAAGATTAGAATTATCTAGGTTAATATTACTCTAAATACTTCACTCTAAAATTGGGACTGTTCTGTCCGCTTTGGGGAAGTTTGCATTGATGTCTTTGACATAGTCATTCTGCAACAGTGAAAAGCATGTTCAGATAATTTCAGTACACTGCCATAGTTATGTAATTTAGAGGTATGTTTAAAATCTCAGACTGACCTTGTTTACTTAATTATGTCTCATTAGCATAAAAATAAAACTTTATTTTAAATCACAATATAGCATATTATAATATGGTTAAATTCTGCTATATTAAGGGCTTAATTTATTGGCTCAGTTTGCTTCTTTTTCTCAGAGGTACAGGAAGAACCCCAGTTTTGTAATGTGTAGATTACCAAATGTTAGTTTTTGGTTTCAAATCCTTATAGAAACCAGACCTTTCCTTCACATGCCACAAATACATGCAGATTTCAGATGTTCCAAAATTAATTCCAAAAATACTGGGAGTCTACCTGTCAAGTTTTTATTGCAGAAGATAGTCTGACTGTTCCAACGGTGCTTTTACTACTCCCTAGGGGTATGCTCTTGAACAAGCTATCATTAGCCAGAAGCCCCAGCTGGAGAAGCTGATTGCCACTACAGCCCACGAAAAGATGCCGTGGTTTCACGGGAGGATCTCTCGGGAGGAGTCGGAACATCGCATCCTCATCGGGTTGAGAAACAATGGAAAATTCCTGTGAGTGCATTTCTCCCGTTGTATTGATGCTGGCCTGCAGGGCTACTGTAAAATTCTTCCAAATAAATCTCAAGCAAGAATATGCCCTGAAGGGTGGCTCATTCACAGTGAGAGAATCCAGTCCAGCGTGATAGACACGACATGATGCTTTCTACACTAAGCAAGTGTAGAAAGGCTAAGTAAAGATGGGAAACTGTAGCAGAAGCATGGGAAACCTGCAGGGGTGTCCACTGGGACCTGCTGGAGCCCCTGACCTCTGCAGCCCCACTGCCAAAACCTGACTACCTGCACCCAATACACAGATTTACTAAACTGGTACAACTGTAGGCAAACTGCCTGTCTTAGCAACTTGGCATCTATATCTGCCAGGTCTCCCAGGGATGGTGGTGGTGCTTTGTTTTGTAGGTAATCATACTGGGAGAAGGAATTGCCTCTGCCTTGACAGCACCACTTTGTGTCTGCTGCTTACCATCTGCATTTGCCTGGCCTGGTGTTCTTTTGTTTCCCGAGAACAAATGTGCCACTTGGGATAGTGACAGACAGCCACCTGTAAGCACTAGAGCCAGACAAAGTCTTCTAACAAAAAAAAAAAAAAAAAAAGCTTTTCTTTTGGCAAGTCCTCATTTGAAAAGTATCAGTGTTTTAAAAGAACTACCTTTTGTCATTCTCCCCCTCCTCCTCCAAACCAAAACATATTTATATAATAATAGAAAATGGAGACTTTTATAAGTCACGGCTAAGTAAGGCGTACTTAGAGGTGTATAATTTCTGAGACAAACTTCATCACCTACATGTGTAGCAACACTTTCACTTCACTGATTTGCTGTAATTGTGCCACACAGGAACCAGTAACTCCTCTAAATCTTGATTTTCAGTAGAGCTAATTCCTATGGAGTCTTACCCATGAATACTTTGAACATAGAGACGTTTCATTTCTTGAAAATTCTTTGCTTCTCTCAGTCCTTGAATTTTTTTGTGTCTCATTCACCATGCATCTGCATTTTCAGCCTCGTCCTCTGTATTTCTGAGTTTCACATCCAGAGGGTCATTTACCCAGTGGCTTTCATTGCAAGGTGTAACAAACCCTTGTCATAACTTCATTACAGATTTTGTAACATCTGTAATAAAAAATTGGTACAGAAATTTGTGGAGCCATAGAGTTCAGTTATCAGTGCTTCTTCCCACTGCACAGGAGTTTAATGGATTTGATGAACATGGCTGCTGTTGTAGATTACCAGCCCAGCGTTACCATTCAGTTCTCCTTTTTCCTGACATGGGACTTTGCTGATTTCTTCTCCTGCGTTTTAAACATAGGGTCATACACGGATATATAATCTGAAATAAAACATCTATTCCTTCTTTTAATAATCTTATAGGTTTTTTCCTAAAAACATATTGCCTCTTTGCTTTCTGTTTCAACACCTTCCCAAATCGATGTTACAGCAGCTGACTCACGATGTAGATCATATATTAAAACTTGCAGCCTTGCTAGTTGACCTCATGCACATATTGGTTTCTATGTGGCCAAAAATGGGGGGGATGGGGGGGTGGGAGGAAGGGAACAAAATGATTTGTCTCAAAAGAAAAGGATCCCTTGGCTAATATTTCTTAACAACAGGGATAGGTCTTAGAGTAGGGGAATGAGATTTTTTAGCAGACTTGACCTTTCCAGTCTCTGTTATAAACACCGATCTCTTTTTAATTTTCTATGAGCACTCCTCCTGCTTTGAATAGAAATACTTTCCCAGTATTTTCCTGTGTTCCCTAAAGATGGCCTGGGAGACTGCTGTCTCAGTGAGCTGTGTGGGGAGCATTCAGACCTTCTCCCACACGACTGGTTATATCGGTGGGTCTGTACCTTATGCAGTTTTGCTGGAACTGAGGTGGCTGCTTTCACATCAGACAGATAAACCCACAGAGGACGAAATGCTAACTTTGAGGCTCTCTTCAAACCACAAGAAGTGCCACTGGAGCTTAAGTAATACGAATATATAACAGCTAGTGCGTTGAGCTTGGGTCCCTCTTATTAAGGATAATCCTGTTTACGTCTGCATTTGTAGGGTGCCTTCTAATGCATTGATTGTTCTTGCACAGACTTCCTATCTGGCCAGTTTAGAGCTTAGTAACCACTTACCTGACACTTAATTTTATGGTCTCAGGGAAGAAACCGGTCGGTAGCCAGAGTAGCAAGAGAAATAATGTGTCTCTCATTTGCATCAGGAATCCATTATTTTATCTTCCTGAGCCTTTCTAGCTTTTAGATCCACAGACCCGGAGGCTCACTGCAAGCAACAAAAGAACTGTCTAATTCAGAGGGGTTTTCTGCAGCGGTTTGCTCAACATGGGCCTGCTCAGAAGGCGTTGAGAAATAAACCACTAATTTCTGGCTAACTGAAGTGTTATCAGCTGCTGCGTGTGAGAGCGGTGCATTGTTTTACATTTCAGGCACAGACATCACACACTTTCACTTATCCAGCAGCAGTGTTTGGCAGAATATTCTGTACCTCTGCGAACTGAAGGCTGTGAATCTGTGCCTGTGAATGCAGCTGCTCAGGGACTGTTTTTCTTACACTGGTTGATGTACTCAAGCCTGGTAGCTGACTGAAAAGTAAAACTTAAACACATTCAAAGTCTAAGTCAAGTTTGCTTGTTGAGGTAGGAACTGGAGCTTAGGAATGTAGAGGGAAGCTAAATTTTTAGTGAGATGAGTTACTCCAAGGCTATTTAACAAGTCCACACACCGATGCTAGTATATGACAAAAATCATATGTTTATCATGGAAAAAATAATAAATATTAGAAGGCTAGAATATTTCTATATATTTTTAAGAAGTCTCTAATAATTGTTTGTACGAGAAGTTTGCTGTCTGTTTGACCTAATTGCCTTGAAACAAAATCCAGTACAGCAGTCTCTGTGAGAATATATCTAACATTTAGATTTCTTTAGCACTGCTTTGCAGCAGTACAGGATTACAAAATCTAGAATTATTTTTAATACATTAATTATGGAAATAGTTGAAAAGCTTTCTGACTCCAAAATATCATGGGTAACATCATAAAGACAACACTACAACTTACCCAAGGAAAAAACCTGAGCTAACTCTGGGTGTTTTACTAGGGAATTTTCAAAGGTCTTTTTAAAGTTTTTGTCATGAGTGAAGAGTCAGTGAAGTAAGAATGTATGTGAATGCTAAAGAGTTTGTTTTCAAACCCAAGCATAGCAACAATGTCATGAAATTACATGAAATATAAAGCTGTACCTCTCTCTTGGGAAGAACATTTAAGTAAAATTGCCACTTGGCACAAAACTTGGAGAAAAAAATATGCCAGTGGAATAGAAGTAAAGTATTTCTTAAAGCACCTGAGGAACAAGTGAAAATAGAGAACTTTAAGTCTTACTAGATCTTGCCCAGTAGGACATATTGATCATAGATCAAACTATTAATATTGGTAATACTGTTATTGATATTGTAATAGTATTTATATTTATAAAGTATCACAAAATATTTATGATATTGTTAATATTACGTGCGTGACTGTATGAGTGTGAACCATTTTAAAAATAAATTGTAACTCTGATAACAGTGACAGAGCAGCAATATAAGAACAGCAATATAAGAAAAGTCAGTTTTCTCTGCAGTTTCAGATAGGAAATAGCATCGTTATGTGGTAAGAGTTGGCACATCTTGATTTGTCATCAGTAATGACCACTTCAGTTATATAAGCATGTGATCTTGCATATGTATTAAAAACCAGAAGTTCTGAAGTTGGAGGGGGGATAAAGAATATTCAGAAAGACTGTTAAACTTAAAGATTCAACTTTAGGGAAACTGCGAGTGAAGGCATTGCATAATTAGCAGTTTAGTCTCTGCAAACTGTTTACATGAGTTCATGTGAATGAACTCACCATGGCATCCCATGACATCTAGAAACTAAGCTGTCTCTTATATGTCACAATAGTTAACACTAGTGAAAACATTTCAAAATAACAAGTTTGGAATTGCAGTTGTCTCTAGGAGTTTTCTGGTATTTTTTCTGATCAAAAATTTCTTTTTCTGTTATTCTCAGCGGTCTGTATTTAACACTAATCTAACTGCCTTCTAGGACTTTCCCACTACTAGGGTGCAGTGGGATTTATCTGACCTTGTAGAGTATTCTTTACATTATTCTATCAGTATCAAGTTTGTATCCATAAATGGAACTGGACATTGCTGACATCAAATAAGGTTAAAAGGAGACCTCAATTCAGGGGTATTATTTAACGACAAAGTTCCTCTTCAAAGTGCCAAGCAGTTGCTGGACTTACACGACACAAAAATTTTCCCAGATAAAACACGGACAGCCAAGCCAACCATGTTTCTGGAGGTGCTTGTCTTCCACTCCAAAGCAGCTTGGTAGGGTTGCTTTCTGAACTTCGGTGAGGTACGCAGCCGAGTGACACTGCAGCAGGGCTGTGGCTTCTCGAAGCTGGCTCTGGTTTGCGTGCCTCAGCAGCGGGGAGGGTCAGAGGTGTGAAGAAAAGCCGCAGTCCCCTACTAAAGTAGCTGAACTGAGGAGGTACCCTACTGTGGTGCAGTTTTGCAGCAAAGCTGTTGGTCGGGGGTTTGGTGGAACACAGTTTGTTGTGCTGGCAGGGTGAGGCCAGCTAAAGAGACCAGTGTGATGCAACCCTCCTCGCAGAAGTATTTTGTAACTAACTGTGCAGCAGCCTTGTGGGGAGATGAATTTTTAAGGTTCCACTGTAGGTAGCGGCAGTGTGAGGCTGAGCTATCTCCTAAATTTTACAGTGTGCTGACATTTGTGAAACAGCTTTGAGTGTGTCACCAAACAGAGGAGAAGAAATGTTGCAAATGAAGGCAGCGGCCAATCCATTTTGTCCTTTACATAATTCTTTTGCAGATGGCGCCAAGTTCATTCCTCATAGCCCTAAAACTTGGAACGTGTGCAGCATGCGGCAGATCTTTGAAGTGACAATGAGTAGCCGTGTTGTTAATAGCATTACCAGAGGGATGGTCATAAGGGCAGACATGCAGGGAATGGCTGGAGCTTGATCAGCAGCGAGGAATGTCAGTATCTCTGCCATCAACCAAGCTGTTATCGCTGAGGAGGCAAAGCAAACCCCAAAATAAACTTCAGCATGGCCTTGGATTCAGGAGGAAGAATAATTTCACACCATTCCTAGAGCAAGCATTTTACTCCTTTATTATTTTCTTCATTATTCTCCACTGTAAAATACTGTGACTTCTGGTTTTTTTTGTTTGTTTGTTTGTTTTCTGTGTTTTTTTGTTTTTTGTTTTTTTTTTTCCCTACACAGTAAATGAGGCATGTTATAGTAGCAATTTATTTTTTAGCCTAAGGGATATTTGCCTTTAGAAAGAGAGGGATCATTTGATTTTTCAGATGGAAGCAGAAAAAAATTGGAGCATTGTTCTTTTTGCTTCCAAACAAAAATAGACTTTACCAAAGGAGGGAATGGATAGGTGTTTACACTGTCTACAGTGATGCTCCAAATAGTTATTGCTTGCTATCTGGGTTACAGTCACAAAAACATAAAAATTACTCAAGCATAGATGGTATGAAGTATAAAATCAATACCTAAACTTGTTTACATTGCATCAGGTAACAATCTGAGTTTCTACTTTCCTTCTTGTGTTATTTTAAAAATGTATGTCATAAAAGAGCTAGATACCTTGGCACTTCTCTAAAATATCCGTGAATTCAATTTTTTTCTCAATGGAGTTGTTTATGTTTCTGATTATTTTCAGTGGATGAAAGGACAATATTGTTTATTTACAGGTGTTTATTATCTCTATGCTTTTCTTCTGTACATTTGTAATTCTCTGCTATAGCATAAAATGGAAGACTAAGTGATATTTCAGTGCTGGCTTCCTTGCCAAAATGCTTTCTCTTAAAAAAAAAAAAAAAAAAAAAAAAAAAAAAAAAAGTTTTTTACAATGAAGTGGGGTTTTTTATCAGTTTGTATTGAAGAACAGTGAATATTGTGTTAAATTTCAGAGCACATTAAAACAGAGAGTGCATTTGTTATATTGAATTTTTTTCTCAATAGTTTGAGAATTGTTACTTTTCATAGAAGGAAAGTTCCACATGGGAAGAGAGTTCCCAGATCTGAAAGACCTTGGGTAATACAGGGAGCACCATCAAGAAGTTGGGAAAACCATGATTTCCTTTCAAAAAAGTTTCAGTTTATAGCATTCCACTTTAAACAGCCTTTTCCTTTGTGTCTATATTTTACAGTAACCGTAAGTTACTGGATACTGTTACCCAATCTGGTTGCCAAAACTAAGACTTCGGCTATTGTTTCAATGCACTTGATACTTCTGCTCTTCACACATGTTTGGGAAGATGTTAGTACCTCCTGGTTTAATTTTTTTTTTTTTGGGGGGGGGGGGGGGGGGTTGGGGTTTTTGTTTATTTTGCTTTGGTTTGGTTTGTTTGTTTGGGGATTTTTGTAGGGATCCAGGTTGTGCTGGAGTTGACTGCCTACAGTTTAAAAAACACCTGCTCCATAACTCTGAGAGAGCAAAGCTTCCTCTGGACCCTGGTCAAGAATAAGTGTTAGAATGGAGACTTCGTTTAGGATGTGGGGCCATAGAGCTGTCTGGCAGAAGTTGCCCTGACTGTTAACTGCACATGTCTTCAGAGTTATGTAGCTGTTGGCTTAGGGGAAGAAAAAAGCTCAGAAATGCAACTTCAAACCTTATAAACCTGAACTCTGCTGAAATCCTTCACTAAATAGTGATAGAGCTGTTTGGGTCTGTGCCGTGGTCTTTAGAAATCAGGGCTCTCCTCTCCTGCGGGTGCCTGTGCCCTCAAGAAATGTTTACAATGCTTATTGTGATAGTAACAACTGTTGCCAATGATAGCCAGTTTCAGTAGATCTAATTGCACTGGAGCCACCATTTCTTCACGTGAAACGTGAAGGGCATTTGTTGCTGGGAAGCAATCCATTGCATTTTTATAGCCTTACTTGTGCTTTATTCTGAGTAGAAGTCCAATTGCAAAGCAGTGCCATTTTTGCTTGTGTTTTAGAAATAATGCCCTCTATTCTAAAAAGACTTTTCTAAGCCTTAGTGGCATCAAGCAAGTCAGAGGAAGACAAAGTAAAAGTCACTCTTCGTTTTCACAGAGGCTGTTACTCTTCACTGGTCAGTCAGCACAGGAAATCAACACGCTGAGAAAACACCTATCATGAAAAACCACAGTGTGTTTCAATTTGCCTTAGAGACTTAGGCAAGCTACTTTGGTTTCAGAAAACAAAAAACTTGACATTACTTCCCTTTTTCCTTTAGCCAGTGTCCTGTTCAACCTTAGGCAACAAGAATCACTCTACTTGAAAAAAAACAGAGGTGCATGAGTACAGACAAAACACATTTCTACTTCAGCCTTGAGTGAGTCAGCTGAGAAACAGAATTTAATACTTGCCTCTGCCACCTTTTGAGACACAATAACAAGTACTAGTGTTGCACCAACAAAGCTTCTTAACATCTTAGTGAGCATATACCACTATATTTCTTTTCAGGTTGTTCAAAAATTCAAGGGAGAGTGAGGAGATTTCTGTGCACACTGGAACAAGAAATAATTCACTCTTGCAGAATCTGGGTTTTTCGTTAAAAGAGCCAGGCAATTTTAGTCTAACTCTATTGCTGTCTCACTGTCAGCAGTAAGTACACACAAGCAACTCAAACTAAAAGAAAAGTCCTACTTTCTAACCTCAGAAGCACTGGCTATGACGGAGCTAGTAGCAAGTTCTGGGTCCGGTCACCAGAATACCCAGGCCTTGAGTACACATAAAACAACTCTGCCACACTTTACAGGCATCTCAGATGATGCTTGCAGGTCTTCTGAAAAAACAAGATCATCCTGGCTACCTGTGAATTTTAGACAAAATTCCATGAATGGCGAAGTTTAGATATATACGTGCCAATACCATCTAGAGTTTCATATAAATTTTACATGAAATCTGCAACAAAGCATTGTCTTTGACTGAAATTATAAGAATTAATGATTACAGAAATGCATGATTTTCTTCAAATTCCCAGAAAAAAAATAAATCTATTTCAGAGCACAAAGATTTTCCCTTAGTTTGATTTTCACATCATATTCTTTTAATGTTTTATTTTCTGCTCTTACCGTCAAATAAAACTCACAAAAGAGGTAGGCCAGCACTGCAGAGGCTTTAAAATGCATATTTTCTCAGGGCATGCTTTATGCACTGCACAGTGTTCTGTAGCTGCCTAACAAAGGGCCTCACATGGATTTTCTGGTTTAATCTGTTGCATTTTGGGGAAAAGAAGGGAAACTTCAGGGAATTTACCTGAAAAAAAGTTACATGAAGAAATAAATGACAGGCTCAACAAAATGACTTCAGAAGTTGCAATGCTGACTTTGCTTTGGTTTTTAATTTAAAATATAAAAATAAAAAAAAAGAATGCTCATTTCTAGTAGATTGTAACCCTGAAAATCTTATTCCTACAGTATCCGAGAAAGAGACAGCAATGGTTCCTATGCCCTGTGCCTACTGAATGATGGAAAAGTACTGCACTACCGCATTGACAGAGATAAGACAGGAAAGCTCTCCATACCAGATGGAAAAAGATTTGACACCCTCTGGCAGGTCTGTTAAATTTTTATCACGTGGGTAACTGTCATCAGATTTCCGTATAACTGACCGAGGCAGCTTTGTTTTATTTTGCCACGTTACAACAGCCTTTGGCTAAAACCAATGTGTTCCGGCAGGTTATTTGTTATATTTTTCCACCTTTGCGTGGCCTCTATACACGAAGAAAATACGTGTTAATGTAGAAAGCTCTGTGAGTGTATAGAGTTTAATCATTTCTAAATGTGATGTTGCAGCCTGGCCGAGTTCAAAATTGCTATAATTAATTATTCAGTTAGCTGAACATTCTCTGGAATGGAAGTCCATTTGCATTTGCAAGTGACCATATTCATGGCTATGCTTGGTGTAGTCTTCTGTTTAATGTCCTTTATGGCAGCAGCAAACAGAATTCTAGGAAGTACAAATGGGATGATTTAAGATGCTGTACACATAATGCAGTCTTTAGCTTTGGAATTCTCTGCCTTCAAATCTGCAAAAGCTCAGTTTGCTGAGGCTTACCACCAAAATATGTCTGAACACTGCTAAAGATTTAGCAACTAAGAAGTACATACTTCTTAATACTAAAATTGAATACTGGTGAAATGACTGTGTAAACTAAAAGTACGAAGGGAATTGAAACTCCTGCAGAAATCTCTTATGTCCTCTTGATTAAAAATCTATTAAAACAAGTGAAGTGACTCACAAATCTAAAATATGATTCTTTGCTTGCATATATTAATTCTTAGCCTTTCTGTAAATGTCCTGCATTATTTCTTTCCTAGTATCACTGGAAATTTTAAAGCAGCTGTGGTGTCTCGCAATTTCTTTGAACGTGTCTGCAAATCTTACACTCACAGGCTGTCTCCTTTCTACCCAAAAGCACCAAAGTAAAAACAGAAGTAATGCATCTGTAACAAAATGAGATGAGAGAGGGTGATTCAGGCACAAATGGGCACGACTGTTGGTGCTATGCATTTATGAACTGCATACATCTCACTGCGACTTTGAGGTCCAAAGAAAGCATTGAGTATTAGCACAATTCCTGCACTATAACTATACCCCCCAAAAAACCCCAAACCAAACAAAACAAAACAGAAAAAAACCAACCAAACAAACCTGTTCAGTCGCAGAACTAATGGGGGCAATGCTGAGGTCTTACAGACCTCCAGGTTCATCTGTAAGGTTACTTCAGAAACATGCACCCCTGCTAAATAAAAGTAAAGGTGAGATAAGAACATGTGCAATAAAGATCTGTTGTATGCCCAGGCCATTTGTTTTAATATATGGCAATGATTGTACATATGCATGTAGTCCTAAAGAGACAAAATATAACTGTACCACCTTTACCATTTCACATACTTTTCTCTCATTCTTTCTTTTTTTTTTTTCCTCCTCTCTCATTCTATTAGCTAGTTGAGCATTATTCATACAAACCAGATGGATTATTAAGGGTCCTTACCACACCTTGTCCACAACTGGGCTCAGAAAATGGTGAGTTATTCCTATTATTTTTACGTGTATAAACAGCCATGACAATTATGATAAAGATGTGCACATTTTTCCACTTGCCATGTAGGCTGGGTGCAGATTTTTCTGCTTTTCAAGTGAGTTAATATCTGCCAGACCATGCATGACGGAGGCAGATCCTGTAGCCCCAGGCTAGCAATTCAGATTATTGCTGGCTCTAAATTAATGTCAGACCTGAAATGTGCTTTGCTCATTGCTTTGCTCGCTGCTCCAATGGTCCTCCCTCCAAAAGCTGAAGCACATCAGCAGTGCTGCCCTGGGCTCTCAGACTGGGTGCACCCAGCAGGTGAGGTGCTGGAAGATCAAGAGTTGCTTCCCCTGCTGGGGAGGGCATGGCAGAAAATTGGATTGGCTGTACCAGATGCTGAAAATGGGGGTCGGATAGCTATGGGGAAGGGAGGAGAAGGGGTGAGGGCGAGAGTCCTGAGGTTCAGTGTGCTTTTTATCCTGTTTCTTCTTTAATGTCAGTTCATACTGGAAAGATTTTGCCCTCCCTCTTGCCCTGACTGAAAGGGGAAACGAGATGCTTCTGATGGATCTGTGTCTAACTTGTGCTCCTCCAGAAGAGGTGCTCGCTCTCTAGGGCCTTCTTATGTCATTCTAACTGGATACCAGTGCCATGGTGAGAGGATGTAGAATAGAATAGAATAGAATAGGATAGAACAGAACAGAATAGAACAGAACAGAACAGAGTAGAGTAGAATAGAATAGAATAGAATAGAATAGAATAGAATAGAATAGAATAGAATAGAATAGAATAGAATAGAATAGAATAGAATAGAATAGAATAGAATAGAATAGAATAGAATAGAATAGAATCATAGCTGGAAAATACATTTAAAATCACCAAGTCTAACCCTTGTTGGTTTTTTCTGTGTGTGTGTGTGTGTTTTTTTTTTTTTTAATTTATTTATTTATTTTTCCACACCTTTGAATCATTTCCTACTTTTTCCACCTGTAGTTTTTCTGCTCCTTTGAATAATTTAGGCACTGCACATGCTTTTTTCTCTGTGGCAACTAGTACCACAGTGTGCTGCTTATAAGAAACAAGAGCAAAGAAGATGGTCCAAGAAAAACACTGTAACATGATTTAAAAACTAGAAAGTTGGTTCCCTTCGTAAAATTCTGCATTCTCAAACAAATTTCTCACCTTGCTCAGTATCATTCCACATTTTATTATTTTTCAGATAATGTTGGTTTTAACACTTATCCTTCTGCTTCTGGAACACTTCCAAAGGTAAGAATATGTGGTGATATAGCAACAGCATTTGTTTGGGAGGGCTTACAGACACATACTGCTTTGGGAATCCTGAATCTTTTATGTTGTTGCAAATGTGAGTTTGTTTTTCTAGGGATATAAGCAGTAAGTTGAAAAGAAGTTTAACATATTATAGAGTAGCATTGCTTTCATTAGTGTTTTGAATGTTCTGGCAACCATTTAATTTTTAAGTTCTTTTATACATAGAATGTACATGAAAAAAAACCAGTATTTTTCATAGGCAAAATGCCTCAGCGATGACCATGTTTTGTAGTGATTGTATCAACCCCAGAAGAAGAGATACTGTATTAATTACATTGCTCACTTCGAGAATCTGCTGGAGGTTCAGTTTACCTTCTTTGGTGTGTGCATTTAACACTGAGCATTGCAAGAGGGTTTGATTCCTTCTGCAGGGAGTTAGGGGTGATTCTTCCCTCAATTCCATGAAAACTGAGCAAGCCAATCTGTTGCTGTAACCGCCTAAGTTCTCAGAGTCCACTGATTAGAGGAGTCACCCGAGGTGTGATTCATACACAGAATCACATGATACTATCTTGTTCAGATGTAGTTGATCTCATCTGAAATAAAGGGCTTAATTTAGTTGTCTCCCTGGAGAGCTCAATCATCCAGGTCATTATCTTGATGTTGTCCCGCATTATAGAAAAATATTTTAGGCAATTATATTTATTCGAGTGTAATTGAGTCCCTGCAGGTCCGTGAACAACCATTCGCATTCCCTCGCTTCTGAAAATCAGGTGCCCTTTTAAATAATTGGAAATTATGCAACCAAAATCAGTCCCTTATGTTTTATTAAACATTTCCCCGAGGTTTGGGGTTTGGGTCTGTGCCATTTGCAAGTAAGTCCGTGAAGTTCAAGCACATGAAGTCGCATGTGTATCATCTGGTGTTTTATATATATATATATATATATAAAACATGCAGTTATAGAGATGGACTTTAAGCATGGAGTCCTTCCTTTTTTTTAGAGGAAGCATATTAGTTAGCAAATGCAACAAAAATCCCTTCCCTGATGCAAAGTTTTCTCCAAGCCCTTACACACAAAGAGTTTACAGTTAGCTTAGTTGGACAGCCTGTCTTGCACATCCTTCAGCAGATCTTTCTACAGCGTTCATGCGCTTCCTTAGCTTAAAAGCAACTTCAGATCTGGACATGTTCCACTAAGGCTTTAGAATATCACCACTGTATTTCGGGGTGCAGTACATATAAAAATTTAACAAATAAATAAATGGTCTGGATGAATTAGGACTTTTCCTTCCCTTTCACCAGAGGCTCCATGACCACATTTAAGGTGATTTTGAGCCCTATGACTTTGTAAATTACTTTTTTCTCCCTGCAAAGTCAGTTCAGAGGCTGTTTAATGTGGCTGAGGATAGGTCTCAGATTATTATTTCAACTTCAGCATCAATCTAAATGTTTAATCTGTAAGTACTGCATCACAGTTTTAATTAGCCAGTTATGATCTCTCAGTGACCCCTAGAAATGCTAATTTGTCACATTTAATTAAATTAATGCATTTTTGTAGAAAGTATTTGTACATCTTCTAAAAGTATCTTTATACAGAATGTAAGTGCGTGTAAAAAATGTAAAGCCTGTTAGTTTTTGTTTGGAATTAATACCATTTTGTGTGCTTTTTACTTCACATTGTTTGTTGTAAGGTGTGCTTCAAATCTTGTTCAGTACAATTGTCCTGCTTCCCCATACCAAAGTTATCAACTGCTTTACATTGCTAAATATGTTGAGGGGTGAGGCTGAAGTTCAATAACAGAGGCAGGAGAGAAATGAAACATACTGTATAGATATAGATCTGGAGAAATTTAAAAATTTGAATTTAAAAACTGGCTTAACGTGTATCTACAGATTCAAGATGGTTTTGTAGCATACAGTTGAAACAAAATGTAGTGCTAAGGTTTCCTATGCTACATTTGTTTGAAGCATCATATATATACTTGCAGGCACACAACAGAAAGGTTGGGAATGTTTTATTCTTGTAGAGTACTTTTTGGTTTGTAAAATATTTTTAGCTATTTTCATGACACATTTACTGTTCCTCTTTGGCATTGTGGTTTCTAGAGCTGGGCAGGAGGTGGAATTATCTCAAGACTCAAATCGTACACCTTTCCAAAGGCTGGCAGCAAAAAGGTGCCTCATCTATAGATTTTTTTCAGGTTTTTGACTGAGTTAAAAAGACTTACATGACTAATTTCACTCTTTTTCCTCCCTCTTTTGGCTTGCTGTCTTGACTACTAACAATTAGATTGTGAAGATTTTGAAAGCTTTCTGCCTCTTTCCTAATCATCTGCATAATTATGGGCTTGATTTTATAACTTAAGCAATGGGTTTGGGGAAGTTTTAACATAGAGGGGCTATTTTTAAGTAATTTCTCGCAAAATATTAGTGGAGATCTCAACATGTCTACAGTGAAATGAAAGTGATAAAATGTTTTTCAAAACCCCTCACTCACAGAAGTACAAAATTATATTTCTACCCTGAGCTATCCCTCTTAATCAGAAAATTGTCTTACTTATATAATTATGTTATTACTTAGCACATTTGGAGAACGATTTGTTAATAAGACATATTCTTACATAACCTGTGTGCACAAATCTTGTTATGCACTGAATCACATTTAGGCAAGTGTAAGATGTCACAAGTCCAAGCAGAATGGGAAAGGTGATATCAGGGAGTCGAGGGGAGCCCAGCCCTGTCTTAGTGAAAATGCTGTTGCATGTCCAGAAAACTGTGCTGTCCAGGAATGGGTGTAGTTCTGAAGCACGTAGTTATGAGCTTGTTTGCATCCTGAGAATAACAGATATGTCCCTGCTCGACCCAGGAATCTCTATTCATGTTTATTTTTTCATGGTTGCTCCTCAGCAAAAATGATCAGGCATGAAAAGCCCCAGGGGTGTGCCACTGTTCAGAGGGAAAAACTGTGTTTGATACATGCTGTAGTTGGTAATCCTGATAAATAACAGTTCTTTTTCTACAACTTCAGTTCACTTTTACACTGAAGTACCAAGAGCTGTTGTAGTCTCTGTATCCTTACAGGACTCACATCTCTTTTTCAATGTGCATTTGTCTTATACAAACACATGTGCAGTGTCAGGATGTGCTCCAAACCACCTGAAATACAATGCCAAGTTATCACATATTTTGGTTTCCTTCAGAAAAGTGAGGGTGGGTTTTGAATTCTGTAGGCGTGGCTTTGGTTACACAGCTGTCTGTTCACTTGGTAAAACCTGTGACTCACTCTGGTCACTTCCCTGCTGACAAATCCCTTTTTTTTTTTTTGCCTTTTGGGCAACAGACACAGAGTACAGGCTGAAGCATATTGGCAGAGAAGGACCAATCATTTAAAAAAATAATTTCAGAAATCTGATTTGATCACCATTTACATATACTTAACTCTGAATACTCAGACCCACAAGTTTCATCACGCTGTCAGATTTTAGACTCTAGGCAAAAGAATTCCAAGATTTACCATTCATTAACCTATCATGGAGAGTTTACTTTACCCCTGGTTAATTAGGCAGTTACTTCTCCTGTGTCAAAAACTTTCAGACAGTAAACAAACAAAAAAAAAGATTATTTTTTATGTTATATTTAATCATTATTTGGAAAGGTTTTTTAATTTAAATTAAATCTGAGTTCTTATTAAAACTCAAATTTTGATCTGGAGACTAAAATTATATACAAGTAATCCAGATCGCAGTTTCTCAATCTGGTTCACTAGTGTAAAATTGGTAATTTAGACAATTTAAAGGAACTCGTGCCACCTAGTGGCAACTGAGATGTCTTAGCCAAAGCTCCTTGTGGATTTGGCTAATGAGATCTTTGTCATGCAATATTTCGCTGTTCAGTTTATGGTCCTACATATAAGTCTGCATTTTTTCAAATTAGAATCATTAACCTGAAAAGAAATTGCTCTTGCTTTATAGATTGTCTTTGTGAGAATATTACTATATTACTTACTCAGAGTTATAATCTTTACTGTGAAAGTCAGATTTAGAGGAATTAGAGCCATTTAATTCATATGTGACATTTTTAACAGGCTCCTCTAGTGGACTCCTTTCCTGTATTCCTTTTTACTGGTTGTAGGAATCCACAGTCATTTTGCCCATTCCCTGTTTCTTGTAAGAATATCAGGAGCAATCTATTATCCTATTTCTTGGTTGTATTAACATAAAGTTCCCTTTATCCAAAAAAAGATCTGCAGAAACAAACTTGATGTTTTAAAAATGTAGGGCAGAAAGAACTCTGAATTTAAATACTAGTTAAATAAAAAGGAAACTTTATTGCAGCATTACCCAGTCCACTGTACATTCAGTGGTACATGCCCCCTTCATAATTTCTACTCATCCTTGCTTGACTTCAAGAGAAAAAATTCCAACTTCTGGTGGAAAATCCAGTTCCTGGTGGAAAATCTATTCAAAGGCATGCAGGGTGCTACATGCCATGACTACATGACTGGCAGAACTGAAGGAAAATTTTTGAAAACTGTGCAGTGCTCCAGGGGGGTCTGACAAGAGCAGCACAGAGGGCCAGAACCCCTCCCTCGCCCTGCTGGTCACACTGCCTTGGGTGCAGCCCAGGGTGCCTTTGGCCTGACTGCCACAATTTTTCAAAAATTATGGATAGTGGCTTAGCAACTTTGTCTGACAGATCCCTGAGGACTCTTGGATGAATCTCATCGGTTCCCATGGACTTGTGCACATTATCCCAGTCCCTGCATTTGTCTCTCTCAACTTGGGCAGCGTGGCTGGAGCACTTGCCATTGAACAAGTTTGAGGCATAAAAGTCATTGAGAACCTCAGCCTTTTCTTTGTTCAGCATAGCCAGGTCTCCTGTTTCCCTCCAGAAAATAAGGATGCAATATAAATGAAAAAGACATTATAATTCTTTGCAAAGCAAAATTTGATTAATATTTTTGACTGAACATAAGCATTTTCCTATACATACCTACAGTGCAGGAAAAAAACTGTCCTAAGTATTCACAGTGCAACTACCAGCCCATATGGAGAGATTTATGATTGAGTTCAAATCCTAGTGGGGTTTTGGGCTTAGTGAATGACCTGTGACACAGGTTTTGGAAAGAGAGTTCTCGCCTTGAAAAGCTAGCCAACTGTATCGGTCTAGAGAAACAAAACTAGAGCTGAGGATCTTGTTGTATAACTTCATTTGCTTCCCTTGTTCTTGAGATTGGTAGGTCAGTCAGTTTGTCCCCTGACCTATCCCAGAATCGTCCAGGAGCTTTTGTGGCTTACCCTGACAGCAAATGGCCTTTCGACACTGTTCCCAAGAGTGAGGAATGCAAGTCAGAAACACTTCCCTTGCCATGCCTGCTGTCACTGCGCTCTGTCCCACAAGGCCAGAGCCTTGCTGAGAGCTGGCCTCCTTCTCGTGGTTTACTGCAAAGTCTACATAGTGAAACCTTTTCTATTTCATCCAGCTGGGCAGATCACTTCACTAGGATTTAAAGAACTGTAATGGCCAGGACAGGTCAGGTGTTTTCCCTACTAAATGCAGTTTCCAAATGATAGAACTTCTATTGTATTCAACAGCTCACTTCAAAAAACTTCATAGAATCATTGAATGGTTTGGGTTGAAAGGGACCTTAAAGATCATCTCCTTTCAACCTCCTTGCCATGAGCAGGGACAGCTTCCACTAGAGCTTTCTTTCTCTTTACTTCAAAACAACACAGTTTCTGGAAGGAACTTATGATACTGAAATCTTCAATTACTAAAAAAAAAAAAAAGCACTATATACTCAAATGTTTGTGAAATAACCCTATTCAGTGTTTTTCAAATGCAATATACTTTTTTTTCCTATTTGAACTGAGAAAACTTGCAGAAATGTTTGAATTTTTCACTGTAAAACACTCTCTTAGGAGGGTGAGGTCATTAGTAAGTAAAGTCTACATTGAGAAAGAAAAGGGACTAAACTGCAGAAATAAGTTCTGTAATTCCATGCTCACAGACAGAATTGAGTTTGTATACTTTACTGGACTAGCCTAATCCTTCAGCCAAGCAGCTCCAGAACACACCATGTTTCTGTTGGGATGGTTTATGTACTCCACATTATTCATATGACAAGAGATAAGGCAGAGGGATTATATTTGAACCAGATTCTCAATTAATTAAATAATTTTCTCCCTTCTCAGAGGAGACAAACTGACCTATTTTCTGGTCAATGATATTTGTCCCTGATGTTATACAACCCTATTCAAATAATAACTTTTTACTCCAGTTTGTTCCACTTCTTTGAAGTGGAGTCACTCTGTAATATCCACAAGAGAAAAAGGGAATTGTTTTTTGTTTTGACTTGTGCTAACAATTTCCCTATGGCCTAGGTAAGGGGAGAGATAACTTGGACAGGGAGGAAGGGCAGATTAAAGAGAAATCCTTATGGCTGCTTGTGTTACAAGGCAGATATGAAATGATCATGTAAATTTAATATCTGCAGAATAAGATTTTTGCATGACCCAGTACAGTTAATTCTCTTGTATCTAATGCTCTGAAATATTTTGGATATGTATGTTTCATTTGGCCTGGATATTTGCTTTAGCAATAACATCCAGAATGAAATAAACTCTTTTGGATCCCCTTCTTACTTTCTGATTCTCACCTGTATGCCTCTTGCAACCACTATGCCTTAATCCTTTGCGGGGGGGAAGTGCTTTTAGCTTACCTGTTCATTGTTAAACAATTAAAAAACTCTTATTTGTGTGCTGTAGCTTCAGTCAACTATTGGACACCCACCTGAAGAAGCACCTTTTAACCCTTATGTGCTCCAAAGGAAGAGAAGTCCTACAGAAGCAGAAAGAGGTAGGCAGGGTAATTTGTGTAATTAATACAATTTTCTTCTTTATGGCAGACATCTCTCTCAACCCATATTTCTTAGCTTTTTTTGCAAATCCTTGAGCTTCATAAAAAGAATTCTGCCCTGTGGCATCCACAGTGCCAAGTATAAAGCAGTTAAAGCAGGGTGCCTGAGAATGAAGCACATAGAAGGCAGCATCCTGAGTGAAGAATTGTCTGAGGTAACTACTGAGAAGTAATAAGGAGAAGGGCCAAACTTTAACCCTTCTTTAATCCTTCTGGCAAGGAACATCCTGGTTTCACATTGCACAAGTGTTCTGTAGTTAATGCATTGTCACCAGGTGGAAGTCACTCACTGTCCTTTGGGATGTTCTAAAGTGCATAGAGATGGACTGTATGTGGTCTCTTTTTAACACCCTTGTAAGTCAAACACACTGATGACCCTGAACATAGAAAAGGTGAATATATTATCTGTGGCAGCAAAAAAAAATGTCTAAAATCATGTCCGATTTTTTCATTGTTTGAGCTGCAGGTGATCAGAGAGAGGCCTTACCCATGGACACCGAGGTCTATGAAAGTCCTTATGCTGATCCAGATGAAATTAAACCAAAAAATGTCACCCTTGACAGGAAATTGTTAACCTTGGAGGAAGGTGAACTTGGCTCTGGCAACTTTGGTACTGTAAAGAAGGGGTTCTATAGGATGAAAAAGTAAGTGTTTCCTTCTATTTTCACGATGTTTAATATCTAAAAGTGTAGCCTTCACTGTTTGGAGCAGCAGTAATCTTTGCATGTCATTTGTACTTAAGTAATTTGGGCTGATTTCTTTTATTGTTCTTACACATAATGCACTAATTTTTTTTGCCTGTGCAGTATTTCCCACCTGCACAACATCTATTTCAGAAATAGTGTAGAGTCCCATGGACAGTTTACCTGTACCAAAGAGGGAGGTTTTTTTTTGCCTAAAATAAGTATGATAAATACCACCTCCATGAAGCTGGAGTGTTGATTTTCAAGAAGATAGAATATGTGGTAACCTCTTTTATCACAGACCCTGCTCCTAGCTGACTGTTCATGCATTTTCATACGAAAATGGTATTTGTATGTTGTTTATGTGCATGGACTGCTTATGTATACACTCATCTCATTTGAAGCTGGAGGCATTTCTTTAACCGAGGTTTTCAGAGGTGGGAAGGATTTTTATTTTTCTAGTATAGTCTGTATTGATTTGAAGGGCTCTGATCTCAGCTCGTGTATTTTTTAATCCTGTTTCACACTTGAGCTGTGTCGATATCATCAGTCACTCCTTCAGTTAGCTCTGTGAACTGAAAATTGCAGAAGTAGGCTTAATTTCTCAGGATTTCAGAGCACTGCCTTGCGGTACTGCAATGCTGTTCTAGTCTCACCCCCAAAACATTTTTATGCCTAAAAAGTCCTTTATAGCTTTTCTTGTCAGAAAAGCTTTATGCCATCCTTGCCAGAATGGGCATGAAAATTCTGTCCAGTGCATTTGTTTTCAGGCTTCTTAAGATATTTTTTTGTGACAATTTGTAATTTTCTCAGGCTCTTTCCATTCTCACTCTTTTGCTTAACTGTCTTCTGAGCTTTTGACAGAGAAATGTTCCTGTTATGGTTGGGTTTTTTTCTCCTCTGGACGTCAACTCCGTCTTTTGTCACGATTTGTACCATGTGCACAGAAACATCAGACAAAGATGTGTGTGCATTAGTGCATGGCTTTTTCTCCAGCTTGTCCCAGAACTGGATTTTTTTTTTTTTTTTTTTTTTTTTTTTTTTTTTTTTTTTTTTTTTTTTTTTTTTTTTTTTTTTTTTTTTTTTTTTTTTTTTTTTTTTTTTTTTTTTTTTTTTTTTTTTTTTTTTT